CCCCAAAACCCCAAAACCCCAAAACCCCAAAACCCCAAAACCCCAAAACCCCAAAACCCCATAATTATTAATATTTATTGAAAATGTCAGAATCTGAAAGTGTAAGCTGAGTGGGTGAAATCACCAAACGGGTCAAGACTTTGTTCGCTGGTGACTCAGAAACTCAAGCTTCTGCTGAAGCAGACCTTCAATCTCGCGAAGATCATAAAGATAATTCAGAACATGCCAAGCACGATCAAGCTCCAACAAATAGTTGCCAAAATGAAGAAGTTAAAGAAGAGCTTAAAGAAGAACTCAAAGAAGAGATCAAGGAAGAAGCTAAAGATGATGCCAAGTCTGTGTTCTTGACTGAAACCGAAGAGCAAAAAGAAGCTCGTCAGCAACACGAAGCCATCTTCAACTCTATCATAGACACCGTTCAAACCGACTACGATGAACAGACAGCCACTGAGCTGTACTCGGTCAGAGGCATGAACAACCTGGGCAACACCTGATTCTTCAATTCGGTGATGCAGTGTCTCAACTCAACCAAAGACTTGTACTTCATGATGATGGATCGCTCCAATGGCTGCTACGGGAAAGGGTACCCAGTCAATAACCAGTTCAGAAAGTACCTTAGCGGCATGCGCAAGAAAGACAGCAAAGCCATAACTCCCAGAGGCATGCTCAATGCTGTTGCAAGAAAGTACCCTCGCTTCGGTAATGGAAGCCAGCAAGACTCTCACGAACTGCTGATCAACTTGCTTGACTTGCTCGACAGCGAAGCAACAAAGAAACACAAAAGAAGCATTGTAGACAAAGTGTTTGGAGGCACGTTCTGAAACTCTGTGTTGTGACTCAGTTGTAAATAATGTGTCAAGGACTGTCCAAAGATTCACTGACATCATTCTGGATCTGAACTTTCAGAGTGGACAAGGCCACAGGCAACACCACAACTACAACAGTTCAGGATACAGCTACTATCCACGAAAGCTGACTAAGAGAGAGCGGAAACGTCAGAAAAACAAGAAAGGGAGAAAGGGCAAAAACAAGAATAAGAACAAGTACTTCCAGCAGCACAACCACTCGACTCCAGCTCCAACTGAGGTGGTTGCTCCAACAAAGAAGACCAAGACTCTGGTGGAATACCTCTTGACTGAAGACGACTTGGCATCCCAGGAGTCTGCTGTTGACGGAATGGTTTACTATAAAATCAGACAGGATCAGACCATTCTAGAGCTGCATCCAGAACAAGCCGAGCAAGATGCAGAAGGAGACGACGAAGATGGAGAAGACTCTTTGCCTGAGCTTGTTGACGCTCCTGTTGATTCTCCAGCGGAAGAAATTATCAAAGAGCATAATGATGACAAAGAACACGATTACGACAAAGAAAGCGAGCCTAAAGACAGTGAAGGAGAATGGATTGTGGTTGATGCTGACAAACATGACACAAAACCGGAAGATATCCAACAACATCATGATGGAACTCTTGAACCAGCTAGCAATGGTGAGCAACATCAAATTGATCAAACTGATCAGCAGCCATACACCAATGACACAGAGCACCCTCATCAAGACACTGAAGATGCTGACCTTATGGCCGATGTTGATTGAGTTGACAAAGATGAAGCTCAGCCTCCAGAGCAAATAAGCGACCAAGACCAAAGTCCTAAAAGCCAGCAGAACAGCGAGGATACAGTCGAAGTTATTTCCAAAGAAGAACTCAAACAGCCTGATGACTCCAAGCAATCATTGCCTGACCAGTAAGCCCATCATCTTATTGTGTAGACCCAATGCTAACGAAGTTGAGTGAACCGAAGGAGAAGCATTTGCCAGATCCAATCTTGACTTTGATGCTTTCAACTATTACGAGCCATTCGAGAAACACTTGAGTCTCAAAGGCAAAGCTAAAGCTCAATCTCTAGATGATGCCTTGAAGTTCTTTACTCAGAGCGAACACCTCACAGACGGCTACTACTGCCAGCATTGCGATGGAGGCAACTACAGTCACCCGACTAAGGCTGTCAAGCGGATATGCTTCTTGAAGGCGCCACAGAACCTTGTCATCAACATCAAGAGGTTTGTCCACTCATCATTCAATGTCAGAAAAGACTCTGCTCGAGTCGAGTTTCCGCTGCGGTTTGCACTCGACAAGTTCATGGTCAAGGAAACCCCGGTAGATATAGAGCTTCAGAACAACTTGGAGAGCAGCGTGCAGCCACAGAACGTGTACGAGTTATACGGAGTAGTATGTCACTCAGGAAGCATGGCAGGAGGGCATTACACTTGATATGTGTCGTTCGACTGTAGCGAAGGAAAAGATTGGTAAGTATAATATACTATCTCTAGGTACTACATTAGTGACTCTCACTTCCAAAGTGTGTCAGAATCAAGAGTACTAAAGTCCGAGGCATACATACTGTTTTACAGAAGGATAGAATTCGGTCAGTAATTTCAATATTTTTTAATATTCAAGGGGTTTTGGGGTTTTGGGGTTTTGGGGTTTTGGGG